GGCCTTTAATACCACCTGTGTGTAATTACTTCCAAATTTATAGATCCAGTCCAACTTTTCCTCTGATTTACTAAGTGTATGTTCAACTACATACTTGACACTTCTATTTCCATGTTTCACAGGTTTCTCAGACTTAACATATCCCAAATGGAGCTCTTGGATCGCCCCCCAAACTTGTTGGTTTTCTGTCATTAAATGGTAGTATGCCGCCTTTTCACTTCCTCTCAGCCCGCAAGCACTCACCCCTACAACTTGGAGCTACTCACCCGTATTCATCTCCATTCTCCCTACGTGATACTCGCCACCATCCAGCCTCATCTGGATTGCTGCATTAGCTTCCTGCTTTTCTCTGCTTCCACCTCTTCCAAACTGTTTTCCATGTCACACACAGACCAACATTTAAAAACTGTGGACTAGACTGTTATTCTCTTGATTCAAACCACTCAGTGGCTTTCTGTTGCCTTTACAAAAAACAGTTCTGATTCTTTACCATGACATATGAGGCAGGCACTCTGCATGATCTGGCATTTACTTCTCTAGCAACTTCCTGTCATGCTACTTTCCCTGTATCTTCTGTGCGTTCACTCTACTGGTGTCCTGTTAGTTCCTTACGCATGTCTGGCTCTTTCCAGCTTGAGCATCTTTGCGCAGCTGTTGTCTCTGCCTGAAACACCCAGTCCCCTATTCTGGAGTAGCTGCTCATCTCATCCTTTAAGTCAGTATTGTCATCATTGAGAAGCTGTCCCTGACCACATTATCTCAGTAGGGCCTTTCCTTTTCTTGGTTTTCTCCTGCCTTTGTTCCTTTTCCAGTTTCATACAACACTATGACAAGTTGTGTGCTTTACTGCATCCTTGTTTATTATTCCTTTCTAAGTAGACAGGAAGCTCCACAGGGGGATGGATATTGTATATCCAGCCTTTGTTACAGTGACCAGTGTAGTAGTTCCTCAGTTTGTAAGATGACAAACTAAACTTAAAGTGAGGCTGATATGGAAAATCCCATTTCTCACTGGAAGATTGGAATCAAGCTGTCCTATCCACATGCCTCATGCCGTTTATAAACTGACCCTCAGGGTTAAGCAAAACGCTGCTGGTGGGGATGGGGGTGTCTTGAAAGGCAGACAGACAGTTACAAGGCAGCATGAATGTTCAAATTTGTGGTTCAGATAGTCATTGCTTTTCTCCCTCCCGTTCCATACCCACCTAGGCATGGCAAGCAGAGCTAAGGGTGGTCTTGGCCCTGCCTCCTGGGCTTGGCTTAGCTCTGGAAATACTCAACTTTGGTTTCTCTTGCTTAGTGGGAAGTCTGTCTGATGACACAACTATCTGAATTTCTCACGTACCTGAGTTCCTTCAACTGAGTTGAAAGCTTCTGGGGGAGGATTTTCATTGTGTTTCGTGCAGTGAGACAGAGTAAAAAGGGCTTTGAACCAGAATTGGGTTTGGAGTTGTGTTTTAGTCCCGATTACTTTGAAAAACAAAACAAATCAAAACAAAACAAAATGAAAGCCAAAGAAATAACCCCTAGCCTCAGTTTTCCCTGCTACAAAAAGCAAGAGAATTGGATAAGATGGCTTCTTGGGTTCCTCCCAGCTTTCACTATTGTGAAATCTGATCTCTGTTGAAAAGATATGGATTCTGACCCTAGGGGGAAATACAATAACTGCAATTTAAGGAAGCACACCCTTTTCTCAGAGTCATTTTTACGGAGAAAAAGGGAATCCTCTCGTAAGAAGGAATGACACATTCCTTGGAAATTCAGAACCCTTCGAGTTTGACTGCCCTTGCCTAACTTTTAGTTTCCTGGAAGTTGTCCAAGGAAAAAAATGTTTTAGAGTTTAATGATTTGGGTCCTTTAATGACTTGTACTAGGAATTAAAGGTGACTCGACTGATAATAGTCCCCCCTTCTAACCTCTGGCACCCCAAAAAGAATCTTGTCATTTTAATGCAAGCATGAGCAGCTCACTTGGTTGTCTGGAGGACCCCTCTGTACTGAAAAGGTGCAACAGATTTGAGAAAAAGGCAGCTTTCATCTTCACTCACAATCATGACAAAGCTGAGTCAGGAAGATTCTAAGCAAATGCATGGTTTTAATAAGATTTTTTTAGTTTTCATTCAGATGGTAATTTAACAGCTTGCATCTCTTTTATTAATTGTTCTTACTTAAAGACTTACCTTTATACTAAATGCTTATTTCAGTTGTTCCCCAAACATCATTTGGGTTGGGTCGTAGTTTCTCATTGCATTGTTATTCCAGGTGAAGAAACTGAGGTGCTTAGAGATTAAGTAATTTGCTAAATTGAGGGCCAGTGAGCAAGTGATCGAGTTGGGATTTGAACCAGGTAAATGAGTAATGAATCTTTCACTGAGCCTATGAGGTAGCTAAAAGCATTTTCAGCATTTTAATGGTAGTGGAAAGATAATAGGGAAATTAATGACACTCAGCCAAGTTGTATTTGTCCTATGTCTTTTTCCTAGAGATTCTGGGTGTTTTCTTTTCATTCAGTCCTATCAATATCCTTTCCTTTAGGATTCTCCATTTTAAACACTGTAGAAGTGTAATCACCTGCTGAGTTAAAATAATGAACACTCATATTTTTATGATCACATAATAGTATTTCGTAAGAGCATGACTTTATCTGTAACTTAGAACCGTCCTGACCTGTTGCTTTAAATATTTTAATAATACAGGTTTTTCTCCTTCCCCAATGAGGCCCACTTTTTTTCCCCCAATCACTTTAATTATGTGAGCTAGAATCCTCTTTCTCACACATCTTCAGTTCTCAACCTTGTTAAAATTAATCATATAATCCCCCTTTAAAACATAGTATTAAATCACCATAGTAACACAGTATCCAAGCTTTATAGATAAAACATAACAGCCATAAGAGAGTAGCGTTTGGTGTCCCCTTGACAGCTCTATAACTTTTATAGAAATGTGTTCCTTCTCCTGGTTGTGTGAGGTGGAGGGATAACATTACTTACACCTGTTTTATTACCACGCTGCTTTTAAATTGCCACCTTGTTTTCGTTCACCTTCCTAGTTAAAAAAGGAGAGTTGAGCACTATTTTCTATCTGAATTATTTTCTTGTACTCTCTAACCATTTTTCAAGGGATGGAATTGTTTCCTTATATATGACCAAGGAAGGTCTGTTGACCTTTTGTGCTAGGATACCTTGAAAACCTCTTTAATTTTCTTATGCAGCTTATGTGAGGGAGTTTTAGAAAGGAAGGCTATCCATATTTGAAAACTCAATTCGTATGATATCCAAAGATTCAGAAAGTCTACCTTTGGAAAAGACCTGGTGAACTGTGCTTTTTTTATTTCCACTGAAAATTTATAAAGTAAATTATAGGAGCATCTGTGTGAATATATTATCGATTTGAGTATATTTTGAAAAATGGAACATGTAAACTACAATGTGACTTGAGTTCCTTTGAAAAAGTCAATGTCAAATTCTAAAATATTCTGTTAACATAAATTTATGTACTAGAATTTGGAATATTTAAATTTTTAAAGAGGAGTCTAAGCTAACTGGTAAACTGATTTTTAGAAGTGGATTTTAAAATATTTCGTAACTCCTAAAAAAGAGCTTATGGATTAATCTGATTAGTAATCTGATTTTTAATTTATTGAAATGGGTACTTTTCTATTTTATGTTGCTTTATTTGTGGGTTTGGTGATTTCTTGTGTTTATGCAGGAATTTTTAGCTTTTCTTTTCTAAAAAAGGTTTTATTTATTTTTAGAGAGTGGGGAAGGGAGGGAGAGAAAGAGGGAGAGAAACACCAGCGCATGAGAGAAACATTGATCATTTGCTTCTCACATGTCCCTATCCCGGGACTTGGCCCACAATCTAGGCCTGTGCCCTGACTTGGAACTGAATCGGTGACCTTTCAGTTTGCAGGTCGGCGCCCAGTACACTGAGCCACACCACTCAGGGCTTTTTCTTTTTTTCTTTCATGTCTTTCTTTAAAACCTTGTTTCCATTTCTTAGACAGCATCTTGCATGGTTAAGACATTTAGTATTTCTGTTCTGTAAAATATGTTCCTCATACATTAAGAAATTTTGAAAGATACAGGAATTTAGGAAATTAATAGTTAACCTTGCCCTCTTTTGAATTCCAGCACCTCCCCTTAATAGCTCTGTGAACTTGAATTCAATCAGTGAATCAGAAAATGAATTCAGCCCTTCATTTTTTCTTTTTTAAATTATCTTTTTAAAAAAAATTATTTATTGATTGATTTGAGGGGAGGAGAGAGAAACATCACTTTTGTTGTTCCATTTATTTATGCATTAATTGGTTGATTCTTGTATGTGCTCTGACTGGGGATCGGACCCGTAACTTTGGCATATCGGGATGACGCTCTAACCAACTGGGCTACCCGGCCAGGGCTCCTTCGGTTTCCTTTTCTGTACAATGGGAATATCTAAGTTCCAGAGTTGTTGCTGAGACTAAATGAGATGGTTTATATGAAGTGTCTCTCCCTGTGACCAGCACACAGCAGAAACTCAGATTCTGCTGTAGAGGAATGATCAGATGAACAAATTAATGATCAGTTAACAGCAAGGTGGCAGAAAAGGCTTTTGTGGTAGTAAGCTCTAGGTTTAAAATCCAGTGTTTTGCAGTTTACCAGTTGGCACCTTAGGCAGTGCTCCTCTAGGCTATTCGCTCAACTATAAAGTGAGGTTAATAGAACGCACCTTTCAGGATTTGATGGGATGAATTACAGGGCTACCTGCTTGAACTCAGTAAGTGGAAGGAGGTATGGTAGCTCTGAGGAGGTGGTCACTAGAACATGCTGCCTGCTGCCCTTTTTTCTTTTTTTACTAGCTCACAATCTGTTCCCGTGAAGTGTGTAAATTTTCAGCTCATTTATAAAGAGTTCCACTGAGAAAGGAAATGTTACAGGTTCAACGACTTGTCATGATTAGATACTTTATCAAGAAACTTACTGCACATTCATTTTTCCCTTTGTTCTGTCTTTGCCGCAGCCTCACAGTTAGCCAAGTTGGCCAGAACTTCACGTTCGTGCTCACTGACATTGACAGCAAACAGAGATTCGGGTTCTGCCGCTTATCTTCAGGAGCTAAGAGCTGCTTCTGTATCTTAAGGTAAGGGAGAAGGGCTTGGCAATTGGCTGGTTCTGTGAAACAATGTCAGCTTTTGCGTTGTTCTTCTGTAATTAAATTTTCCAGCTGCTCTTTTTATTTTCCTATCTGTTTCCCACAAGTCACTGCACTTGGGGAGAAGGACTTCACAGTGTTGTCCTTGCACTTTAAGTTCTGCAGATAATTGTATTTATTTATTTGTATCCCATCGCTGGGGTGGGAAAGGGACCATTGCTTCTGTGGAGTATGGGGAAGCTGGAGAGCCAGCGTGGCTTCAGTTCCTCCTGCTGTTATCTGGAGCTGTCAGAAGTTAGTCTGTTAGGCTTTCCCTTGGACATTTTGTGTATGTAAGATTATTAATAAAGTATGTGTCTGTGGCTCAGGACGTCTTGCAGACACTGATTGTGTCCTCCTCAAAGTAACACCCTTGCCCCCTTTGGGTCAATGAGTGAGTGACTGTTTCTCAGCTTGGCTACCTCTAGAGAGGTTTGAAAAAAGGGCCGAATCCTGTCAGAAGGCTTCCTTAGGCCTTCTAAAACCCCCTTCATCCACCAGAGCCACACTTTCTTAATGCTCTGTTTCCTCCTGCCAGAGGGGTGAGGAGTGTTCTGGGGTGGGAGGATGTGTGGAAATCGGATTTTGGAGCCGCTGGCTCTGTGGGCTCCTGCTGGGCGCCTCCTGAGGGGGAAGTAAAGGCATCCACACACTCTCCTCTCCATCTGCCTCGGTTAAGTAGGTGTCAGAGGGGCCTGCCTCCTGTCTCTCTCTGCTCATGTGGAGCAGCCCAGGGCAGGACAGCGGGGAGGCGCCCCTGACAAAACCCGGGTCCCCATTCTTGGGCTTCAGCCTGGGGATAAAAGGCCAGACCCTCTATGAATTCCAGAAAGAGTAGTTCTCTGGTGTATTAGTCTCTGCACTTTCTTCTTCTTCTTACCAAGAAAAGACACTCCCCCCGCCCCCCAAGCACAGATACCCTCACACCACAGGAGGAAGAGAACTGACTTTCGGAGTGCTTTTGCTCAGTAGCTCTCAGTCCAGACTGCTACTTTTGTGTTTCTCTCCACAAACATTAGTATTGGTTTTAATCAGCAAAATTAACTCTCTTCTTCACCGAGCATAGCATCTGTAATGGGGGCACTAGAGGGCAAGTGTTGGAATGACCTAAGGAAGGAAGTACAGCCAGGGTACTTGGTGAGATTAAATGTGTACAGCTGTTCTCAAGCATGCCTCGGCAGTCCGGGCGGGCGCAAGGATTGCCTGCCCACAGGGTTTGATTCTGATGCAAATGATTATTTACTCTTTGATTTAGTAATGTTGGTCTTTTTGTTTTTGTTTTCCTTTTTAAAGAAAATTTTCTCGTACATTTTTACCTAATACTATGTTTCAACCTTGGCCAGGACACTGCATATTTATGTAGTTTTTTAGAGATGAGGGTTTAAACCACATTCTTAAGGTTTTGTAGAAAGGTGTTTTCCCCCAAATGTTTTGAGTTACAGTGTTTTTTCCTTCCAAAGCTGGAGTGCGTGAGGGGTGGGGAAGGGGATGAGGCTGAACTGGCACTCTCACAGTCACACAGTTTTGGGGAGTGGGAAACAACTTAAAAATTTAAATTAAAAAATTGCTCTCCTCTGATTCTAGTATTTGACTTTGTGTGTCTATATGGAGCATGATGGCCTTCATGTTTGCGAGAAGGTCGTTGGATAGCCTTCATGCTGTAGTCATTTAGAATGAAAAATAGCAGCAATTGGTATGTTTTCTATCTGTTTTACTAGCTTGGAACCATAGAAAACAATTTGGTGGGTTAATTCATTCATTTATTTGCCAACCCTTAATCAGGTGCCTACTATTAGCTAGTCCCTGCCCTTAAGGAGTTCACAAGGCTGGCTGGAGAGATGGATGATCACACTGCAGTATGCTATATATATAAAAAACACACCATGGTCCTGTGGTGTCCTGTCTTCTCACTACTGATATTCTAGCACCAGAGAATAGTGACTGTGGTGAGAAAGAGTACTATATGAATACTGGGATATGCATTTCAAGGGTATTTAACATTCGAGGTGAAGCTCTCATTTTATCTCATCCAGCTTGTGCATGTATAATGGACATACATTTTCCCTGTGCTTGGGCTGGGAACGTTGCTGGGGTGATACATGAACAGAAGGGTCTACTGTAACCCTGGATGACTGGGTTACAATGGAGAGTTGGGAGGTCTGCCGAGAGAATACGGGCATGATTTGGGTCTGGTTTACATTGTTAGCATTGTCCTCTTTTGCTGCTTGGTCTCCTTGTCTTTTTCCGGGTGCTTTCCCTTTAGCTAACCTATGCCTTGAGGTCCAGGTACCATTCTGGTGCCCAGTGCTGTAGCTCAAGGCTGCTAAAAGGCCACCTCTACTCTTGCTTTCCATTTAGTCTCATGAGGGGTGTAGCTCCCAGTGAAGGTGTGTTTACGTGTATAGCCTCCACTGATCCTAGCTTCTGAGGCTCCCTCCTTCCCTGACTGCTCTCCCAAGCTCATGTGCTTCCCGGTGCGTATGAGCCACTGGGTCTTTCTGCCTTCACACATTTGCCCGTTCCCCCAGACTTCAGCATGGGCGCTCTGAGCAGCCTTCTCCAGGCAGCGGTAATCATCTCCCCCTCTGGGGACACCAGATGCTTTGCATACTTCAGTTATACTTGCATAAGCCTTGATCACCCTTTGTTTTTCTCTTGTTGGACAGTTAACTCTTTAGGAGTAAAGACTGTGTGTTAATCAGCTTTGTATCTCCAGTCCTTAGCGTAATGCTTGACCAAGGTAATGTGTGCGTGGCTTTCAGAGACAGGCAGATGCATGCTATTTGAATAGAAGAACAGGGCTCTGAAGGCTCTGATAGGACACTAGTTGAGAGAGAAAATGTGAAATATAGTTATTTGCAGAAGCGTGGTTTATATTATCAAACTTATATTAACTGTAAGAAGAGAACCTTTGAATCTCACAGTGATGATCCAGTGTTAAGTGCCAGGCCTTGTGTCCATAAAGGGCTAGACCATCAGTATTACAAAATTTAAATTTAATTTCACAATGAAAGTTTTTTAGATACTCTTTATATATTCACTTATTAGGTTCATTGTTAGGGGCATTGTCTGTTCCTCGTACTAGAATGTCAGCTCCATGAAGGCAGAAAATTTTTATCTGTTCTGTTCACAGATGCATCCAAAGTATACTAAAAAATGTAGTTGTATTAGAGCATAAACAAGTCTCATTAACAGAAATGCTATGGTACATAAAATCAAATACATATTTCCTCCCATGGCTAACTAGTTTTTTTCCATTAAGGTATTTTAATTTTCCTTGAGATTCATCATAATATTATTTAACCAGTTGCTAGATGGTGCTTAATGCTAGATTAAAAACACCAGCTAGGAGAGCAATAGCTACAGGGCAAGTCATTATAAACCCAGCAATGTGAGTGAGTATTTTAGAATATCCAGATAGCACTGTCTGCATCTGATGTGGTATAAACATTTACCTTTGCTATCTTTCAACCATAAAACAAGATGACCTAGAACCAAAGTTATTTTTTCATTTTTTAATTGTCGTTCAATTACAGTTTTCTCCCCATTGCTTTCCCGTGCCCTGCCCACTCCCCACCTTCCACTTTTAATCCTCCCCTCCCATTGTCTTTGGTCATGGGTTCTTTCTACACTTTTTGTGGCTTCTGATTTGCCTTAATGACATGTACCCATCAAGACCTTAAGAGTTCAATGATATAACCATGTTGTTTGGTGGAGGTGGGGTGGGGCAATGTATTATGGGAGAGATGTCAATAATAATAATAATAATAATAATAATAATAATAATAATGTCTTTCTGTACTCTTTATAAAAGAATTTTTAAAATATTTGTGTTCTACAGGTTTTACTTCTGTATGCAGATCTTATTTAAGCTCTTGGGAAAGTTTGAGTAACTGTCTTTATACCCAAATCAAATTGTTCAGAAACTAGAATACATTTTGGAAAATAACTTGTTTTTTCAAGATGATATCTAAAATTTTTGTTTTAACATTTAAAATTTTTATTCAGTTAGTAAGCATCTTAGTACTTATATATATCAGAAATGATCAATGGGTAACAGTTGGTCTTTGGCCTTTATTTACTTCAAGGTCCTTTGAAATAGAAATAAAGATCTAGCCCTGGCTCCATATATGATGAGACTCTTTTAGATGTTAGGTTCATCCAAGATTTTGATAAGCTGAACTTTCTGAACTTGATATAACAGACTGAAAACAATATATACTTTTTGTCCTTTACCAAATTTAAAATTGAACATGCTTTTGCATATACTGTTCCCAGGCCACTTCTGATTTTGGTATCCACCTTCCATTTTGCTTCTACCCTTACGATCTTAGGAGCCACTCAATCTTTGGGAAGGGACTATGTAAACAGTTAATTAAAATATAATGTGATAAGTGCTATTTGAAAAAAATATGTATATGCAAGGGTCTGTGGGGTCATAGATTAGGCAGTGCCCATCTCTGGCTTGGAGAATTGGGGAAGTGTTGCTGATGGTTTCCAGTTAAACTGGGTCTTACAGAATCAGTGGGGGCTTGCCTGGAGGAGAACAGCAGGAAAGCTCTTGAGGTGGTAAGAACGGGTGTGCACAGGCCCAGAGAAAGGAAAGGTCAGAGCAAGATGAAAGAATGATGAGAATTTGATGAGAGGGCAGCAACAGGCAATGATGCCATAGAAGCCTTGGGGCCAGGCTGCTCAAGATTTTGGGTTTACCCCGTAGGCTGCAGAGCGCCGTCAGGTGGTTTGGGGCAGACATCAGATATAGCGATGTTAGACCAAGGATGAGGTGGCTTTCTGTGCTTGAAATTGCTATTCACAGAGGCGTGGGGTTTTCTGGTTTTGGTTGGAAGGGACGGTGTTCATCACTCTGGAAGTAGCACCTTGATTTAGATTGGAATTTTTAAGCCTAAACTTTAGTTTTTTTGGTTTCTTTGTTTTTATTTATTTATTTT